TGAGGAGGTTCACACGCTTTACGAGTTCGATGTCGATGTGGAGCCTGGATACAAACTCTCAAAGGAGCCGAAAAATATTATATATCTACCAATCAGCCCGACAGGGCGTCAGTCTATCGACAACATCACACTGAGAATTTTGGATGATAATGACCGATTAGTTGACTTTCGCGGAGAGAAGATTATAGTAAAATTGGAATTGAAACAGCTCGATTAATTATTACAACGGTTTGGAAAAATGGGTTTCTGCTTTGGAAACCAATCAAAACGTGTATCTCTCGCTGCAAACCCCACTATTCTACACACTACCGTTAAGAAGAAGTGTAAACGGGGTAGAGGATTCATTCAAAGACAGCTCACCGGTCAGGTAGGACGTCATAGATTATCTGCGAGCGATATAAATTTTTTGGAATCTATTGGTCTGACAGTACGACAAAGACGACGACGAACGAGTAGAAATTAGTGAACAATGGTTGTCACAAGTTCTACTAGCTTACAATTGGAGGTGTTTGATGAACCAATTTTCGATCATTCACTAATTAGCCTACATGAGCATACATACAAACCATATGGTTCACCATCATTCAAGAATTCTGATGAAATCAGGATAGCTGTCAACTTTCAAGATTTGATACTCGATATTTCTGATAGCTACATATATATTGAGGGGAAATTCACACCAGATGATGCAACGAAATCCTGCTATCTATCTAACAATACCTTAGCCTTCCTCTTCGATGAAATTCGTTATGAAATGGGTGGCGAACAAGTATGTATGATTCGAAAACCAGGCATCACTACCACAATGAAGAGCATGATCTCTTATGGAGATTCTAACGCTAAATTTCTTGAAACAGTCGGATGGGGAATTGACAGCGAAAATCAGCCAATTCTAGACAAATCTAGTCACATATTCAGTGGAAAACTACCGCTAAAATATTTAATGGGGTTCGCTGAGGATTATAATAAAGGTATATTGAATGTGAAACAGGAGCTGATACTCATCATAGCTCGATCATTCAAAAACTGCTATATAGGAGAAGTTGATGCCAGTGTGGAGATTAACAAAATGGAAGATAGGACATATTATGCCATCGGATAAGCAGAGGTTGAAATTACTGAACCGTCTCAATAAAAGTTCTACAGCAAAAGTGGAAATTGCATACAGAATGTGGGATCTGTATGAATTACCGTCAATTCGTGAAACATCTTCAGACATTTGGGCTATTAAAACCACCAATAGTCTCGAGCGACCAAGGTACATTATCATAGGCTTCCAAAATTCTGGTAACACAGATTATAGATCCAAGGATACCACCCAATTCATTCATGCGGGAGTCAACAATATTCGACTGTATTTGAATTCGGAAGTTTACCCTTATGAACGGTGGAATTTGGATTTTGGAAAGAAGTTAGATGCTGTAGCCTATTATGCATACGATAATTTCCAACGAAGCTATTATGGTAAAGACATGAGCGAACCAATGATGAGTATTGAGGAGTTTAGAAAAAATCCGTTATTCATCATAGACTGCAGCCATCAACCGGACACATTGAAATCTTCAACTGTCGACATCAAGTTGGAGTTTGAGACACGCCAATCGAAATTTCCATCTAATACCAAGGTATATGCGCTCATTCTTCACGATGCATTTTTGACATATAGCGCACTAGATGGTTCCATACAGTTAGGTGCTCCTTGAATACACTCTACAGATCTGGAGCAAATTCTAGCCTCCGTCCACCTCCACCACCACCGTCACAGCCGACCATGAGCATTCGAAGCCTATAATTGTATTAGATCAGTTTTTTCATTATTATTATTATGTTCATTATTATTTATTATCATCATGATTATTATTATTATTATTATCGACACATGTATCTGCACTAAATTGAATAAAAGTAAACAAATGTTTTACAAATCATCGTTTTTTATTTCTTGATTGATAGACAATGAAAAATGCGAGCTCATCATCATCATTCCATAATTTATATATATACATGCAAATGATAATAGTATGATTGAAGCATCTCTTAGCAATATCATCATTTCGATTCTTCTTCTTCTTCCTCCTCGTTGTCGGATGATTCTGGAATTACCCCCAAGTTGTACTTCCGTATCAGGCTGTTTGGTAGGAAATCAAAAATTTCATACAGAAATTGGTCCAAGTCCTCTCCCACCATTGCTTCAAGAAATTCCTCCAAAGTGAAGCTACCATATTCGAACCGGGCGCATAACATATAACTCTTTCTATATTGTTCGGCTTGTTTACAGAGTCGTTCAACTTGTTCTCGATCGAAGCATATGCTCAAATCATAATTTGTCGCATGCATTGCATCACGTGACAAATCAGAGAACTGACATTTCAACCTGCTCACTGCTGATTTGATGTCTTCCGCTGCCGGCCAGAATTGACTAGAATAATACATCCACATGTTGGGGAACAGGAGTCTGTGAATGATAAAAAAAAAAGTTTGGTAATGATGAGATTATTTGGGAGATTTGTCTTTCATTGAATTCTTTTTGGAACCTAATTTATTACTTACCGCAAACGGTACGATCTGCGTTAGTGGCTTGTGTTAATGTAATAATAATTATCATATAATTTTTAAACCCTTTTCACTAAGCTATACTTAAAAAACCTATCAGAAATAATCAAGTAGAATAATTCCGAATTAATTTTGCTTGAAGTCAAACTTGATAAGAGCCCTCGTTTTTGCACCTACATATAATGGCTCACTCTGGCCCAAATATGCTAGAGTATAAAGACCATTTGAAGAATTCATCTCATCAATGTCGCTGTCACTCAGCAACTCTACAACTCTTTTGGGCAACCAACATTTCAGACTAGCCTCAGTTTCTTCATCGTACAATATTACAAAACCGCTCCTACCAAACCTGGTTCCACATAGTGATATTTTCTTGACGACATAGCTTTTATTCAAGAGTATATAGTGATGAGATAACAGTTTGCTTGATGATATCATTGTCTTCGTTAATTCGATTATTTATCGCTAACAAATCAATTTTAGGAGCTGCCATTATAAATTCTTCTTTGTTGAGTGAAAAGAGGTGTAAAAAGTATATAAATAATTTTTACTTACATATAACAGTTCACGTACACTTTTATTGCAAACACTTTATATTCCCAATCTATTTGAGCGGGTATATTTTTTATGTGCGAGTTGGTGGTGCGTATCTTCCGTATCATTAGGAGAACTATGCTCTCGCAGACGATACAATGATGTATTTATAGAAACTGGAATATGTGACGTAACACAGCACCCCACTTCTACCAAAACGACCTCGACCAGCCTACTCCCATTTTCAAGGTCGCACACGCTTTCACCCCCCCTCTCCAAGGTCGAGGTCTCTCTCTCTCTCTCTCTCTCTCTCTACAACTCGAGGTCACTCGTTCCCAAGGTTACATATGCGAAGGTTACTCGTACAACCTTCCTTCAAGGTCACTTTGTCTCGCCCTCAAGGTCACCTCCGCGTTCAAGGGCGCGCTGTCGACACTTCACTATACGAGGTTACTCCCGCCCAAGGTCAGATCCGTTCAAGGTCACTCCCGCCCAAGGTCACTCCCGCCCAAGGTCACTCCGCCCAAGGTCGGAGGACGGTGACCTAGGGCGGAGAGCCAGAACCGGCCAATCTCTACTACTCTTATTTCGAAACTTTGCGAGTAAATTAAGAAAAAAACAGATGACTTATGTCACTAGTTTCGTATTCAAAAGTATTCTAACACAACACACATATGAATAAAATAAAAAAACAGAGTCTACACCTCATATATTTCTTTTGAAATTTGTATTTGAATGTGGAATTCGGGTATATTTTTGATAAACAGTTAAAAAGACGATTAAAAATGATCCACAGGGCATGAAAGGTGTTAACTAGTCTTAAAGGATAGCAGACTCAGACGAATAAAAGATGACCCCTTCATTCGACCATTGCAATTTGGCACACGATGCACCAAACACCCTGTATAGCACATATATTTACACTGTTGATGGCTTTCGTTGTGGTATAATTCCGAAAAATCGGAAAAGTCGTTTTATCCATTCCACTTCGCGACTACGTGAATTACCAAACAACCACTAAATTTGCAATTTTTTAAAATCAAATCACATAATTAGACGACAGATATATGATTACTTCAAAAGAATGATAGAGATGCCTGCAAAAAGATGCTCGCAACGGAGCTTTCATTCCTGTTAAAACTTTAAATCTCACGTCGATAATTCACTGATTCTAATGTAATGTGATATAATCTCAATATAGATTCGTCCTTTTTCCTATCACAGAAAAAAATAGTGTATATTATAAGCGGGAAAAATATTGACAGCACAACCTGGAGCTAAAATCTACTAACTTTTTTCCTCGTATAGTAAATAACTCTGTATCCAATTATTTTCATGTTTTTGAAGAAAAAGAAATATCGTTCATCAATTTTCTCATCGATTTTTCAAAATTCCATGTCTGGTACATTCCACGTGGTTTTAGTTCAATTCAGATTTCAGTACAATTTGTTTTTTTTTGTCAACACTGAGCTTTTGTAGTGGATTGTATATCTATCATTTTAGATAGACCAGCGAATCTTTCAAACATCGAGGCCAAGTTGTGTATCTGACTTCCACGGTGGTGACTGGGGTTCAATCCCTGTGAGGTGTCATTTTTTTTTTCACTCAACCAATTTTCAAAAATATACTTTTCATGAAAAAGCTTCATTTAGGACAAGTTAGGTTGAAAGTACTTTTCCTTCTTCATGTAGAAGAAATATTTTCCTGCCCCACCTATTTATAAACTTAGTCTTATAAACATGAATAACCTTCTGATAGCCTTGAAGTTTGAAAGATTCGCTAGACGCCAATACAATGACGGGTAATTACGGGTAATTATCAAGTGAGCTGCCTGAATATATTCCCTACCCAAATAGGGAGGAAACGTGTGCCACTGGTCGATCGAGAAAGTTCGGAAATTCTGGCAGCCAGCTCTGGCAGCCCACTTCACGTAGGTTTTGTAGGTTATGTTTATTATTTCCCTAAAATAATATTTCAAAAGCCCTTTCAGACGTTCAATGAGCAACGAAAACCAGATAAATCATGGCTAGTGCTTCATCTATTTTAGTGGGTAGGATAATATTGTATGAATAGTTCGATTATATTTGTGTAGTAAATATTAATATTGTTTATAGGTGGAGGTACCGGTTTTGTAGGAACTACCCTATGCAATGCCTTGAGATCCAAAGGTTATGGAGTCACAATAATCTCTCGTATGCCTGGACCACACAGAGTTTCATGGTGTGATATACAAACCAAAGGTTTGCCAAAAAACACCAAAGCTGTGGTCAACTTAGCTGGTCAAAATGTTATGGACTTCACTAGAAGATGGACTGCTGGATTCAAGCAAAATGTTTATAGCTCTAGAGTGAACACTACAAAGTCTCTGGCTAGTATAATAGATGAGGCAAATGAGAAACCAACAGCCTTTGTGACAATTTCAGGTGTTGGTTGTTATAAGCCTGACAAGCAAAAAGAATACACAGAAGAATCAGTCTGTGGTGAATTCGATTTTTTTTCAAAATTATGTAAAGATTGGGAAGAAGCTGCACATTTGAGTGACCTTTCAAATAGATATTGTAGGGTTGTAACCATAAGAAGTGGGGTGGTTTTAGGAAGAGAAGGTGGAATGATTAAGCAACTTCATCTTCCATTTTATTTGGGTTTAGGTGGACCTGTTGGAAATGGGGAACAGTATATGCCTTGGATTCATATTGAGGATTTGACAAATATTATTATTCATGCCATTGAGACTCCAAATGTTGAAGGTATTCTAAATGGAGTAGCTCCAAAGCCATGTACAAATATGGAATTTTCAAAGGTGAGTAGCTAAGCTAACCAAGTGGTTTTCTATAATCCTCATAAAACAGTGACGGCTCGTGCCCTCAGATCCTGGGTCGGCCAGGGTATAGATATTGCTCTAAAATGCGAACGTAACATGTTGGGTCAGCGGCTTGAGTGAAGTTCGATGGCAAATAAGCATGATTGTGCAGGATGATTCACCATAATCGTCCCCCCCCTCTAGCTCACTTTATTTAACCTGACCCGATTTAAAAATTTGAAGGATGATCTAAAATGATTTCTCAGAATTTTTTTTCCCGTTTCATCAGGAAATACAGGGTGCTCGGAACAAATGATCTACAGAGTACTACTCGATTTTTCCAAATGGAACACCCTGTATTTCATTGTATTCTTAGATCCTTCCTGAAGAGCTGATTCCATCAATGCATCACACTTGGGGTCTAGCGGGAATGATAACAGAGATATAGGGTGTTCAAAATCGAGATTTTTCAAGTTTAGGATTTTTTTGTCTCGAAACTATTCATTATTGGTCGAAACGGCTCCTATGTTTCCATCTTAATTTTTGATTAACTGTCTATTGAGATTTGATTGGAACATTTACAGGGTGGTTCAAGATTCAGAATTCTGATCACCCTGTATCTGTTCCAATTATTAAATGTCAGTAGATAGTAAATCAAAAGTTGAGATATGGACATGAAAGCCGTTTTGACCGATGATGAATAGTTTCGTCTCAAAAAAATCCTAAAGTTGAAAAATCTCGATTTTGAACACCCTATATCTCTGTAATCATTCCCGATAGACCCCAAGTGTGATACATCGAGCAAATCAGCTTTTCAGGGAGAATCTAAAAATACAATGAAAAATAGGGTGTTCCATATAAAAAAATCAAATGGTACCCTGTAGATCGTTTGTTCTGAGCACCCTGTATTTTCTGATGTAGCGGAAAAAAACTCAATCAAAAATCATTCAATAAGATGATATTTCAAATTTTGAAATCGGTTTAAAAATAACTGAGCTAGAGGGGGGGACATTTATGGTGAATCACCCTGTACACATAACCGAAAAATTAAATTGTCCAGCAAGAACCACGAGGTTAGAGCATTCTCGCCAGGGAAAATGGGGAAAGGAAAAGGAGGTGGATAAGGGTTATAGTTGGTATGAAAAAATAATAACAAGAAAGTCGAAAAAATAAAATGAAAGAAAATAAAATAACTCGTGAACAAATAGTTATTTTTGTATCTAGAGCGCGAAATGCTACTTTGGTGATCGAGATCTGATTTTTTTAACGAGGCGTAGCCGAGTTAAAAAAATAGTCGAGATCACCAAAGTATTTCGCGCTCGAGTTGCAAACAACATTTTTTCTACAAACGTCAAAAAATATAGTTCTAAAGTAAAAATATGCTTAGCTTGATATAAAAAATAGTGTTGAACTGGCTTAAAAAGCCTCCCCCTATCCTCCCTAGGTACGCACGATGTTCCACGAACATATTAGGAATTTCCTTTCGTGCGCTCCAAGAGATTAAACAAAGTTATGGTTGAACATTCAGAAATGAATGATTTCGTGGATGTTTGCTCGATTGAGGACCATTAAGTTGGAATAAAAATATCTCATATATTTTACATAACAATGCGCGAAGTAGGTACTTCGCTGTTATGTGCAAGGTATCATGGTAACGTAGGAAACTGAAAAAAAGTGTCACTTCGCAATTTGCTATCAATGCGCGAACCCTGTCATTTTTTGATATTTGTAGAAAAAAATATTTATATTCTGTTGAAAACGTAACGTAAACTCAAAAAAATCAACATAACCGACAACCACTCACCTAACGCGAAAAGCACAACAATGACTAAATCGGTCAACGCTCTACGCCGTTCCTGTAACAAACCACCCCACTCCTTCGTAGTCGGCTGGCCGAGCCCGCCGTGCAGCCGTAGGTATAATCAGGAGTGTATAATCTCTGGTATAATGTTTCCCGCGATGGATGCATAAATATTATTTATTTTATAACCGCTACATGCGTCTTTGAAAATAAATGATCTGGAAGTTATACATTTATTACATTTTCGTCACCAGAGCTTTTTTACGATGTTTCAATACCTACTCAGCTCTTGGACTGCTGACATTTTTCTTGCCATATTACCTACATAGGCAGAGGCACAGTATAGGTTACATTACAATATTCAAATTGAATTATAACTCATTGACGCTCAGAGGCACTGAAGGAAAATTCTGATACCAATATTAGATGGATATGTTGAATTATGAATCACTGAAAAATTGCAAATTCAAAAATCACCAGTCATTTTTACTGCAACTACTGCAAGCGTGAACAAAAACATCGAATTTTTTTTTTTTTCAGTTTGTACATTTCAAATTTCAACATCAACTTACAAATAAGTAAGTATAGGAATACAAATTATAAATACCTACAATGTAAATGAAAATAGAATGTCAATCATGCCAATCCGTATATTAAAAATTAGGTCGGAATGGTCGGATACGGTGCACAGCGAGCGCACTGCAAACTACTGATAACGTACAACGTTGTACGTACGGACGGCCAGCAGAGCTTGGCCGCACCCAAGGTATGACGCGTATCGTTCGCTTATACGCGAGAATTCAAACTTGAAGCGGGGAATCTGTAGGCGATGCGTCGAGATTGGTCGAGACAAGAAACCACCGATCGGCCGGCCGTCTGCCGTGTAATGAGCTACGCGAGCGTTTCAAATTGAAGCGGCGTTTTGACGATGGGATTACCAGATGTCGTAGGTCCTGAATGACCTGAATTAGTTCGTGATTTTCGGAGTATATGCGGATGGCATACTCAAAGGTTCCAGTGAAAGAAATTGAAATAATAGTGGCATAACAGTAGGATAATGAACGATGAATTATGAAAACAGTTTCGGAAAATAATTGTATTCATCAAATAGTTCAGTAATTTTCCCCAAATTATTTGGTACGGCCCGGCCGACCCTGCCGTCCCTGACGAGCCGTCACTGTCATAAAACTTACTCAACTAGTATGTTCCTGGAAATGTGAAGTCACTGGTAGGTATTGCTACTCTGAATGCCCAGGAATAGGTATTAAGAAAATGTGTGCTCTTAGTAAATAAATGTTCAAGCTGAAATATTGTAATTTATGCATTTGGAATCTCAGAAAAGGCTGGCAGGTGGATGGTAGTTTTTTCTATGAATTGGTTCTTCTGATAGTACTGTTGGACCAGAAATTGAAAAAAAATAATAACTTTCAAAACACATGTTGATGGGAATTTTTTTTCTATGAATTTGTTCATCTAATGGTATTTGATAATGTGTTCATCTCACAATATTTTGTCATGCAAGAATCAACCCCACAGGCTCCCTTATTTAGAATTTCGAAAATAAATCATAACTTTTTCAAAATACACATGGATGGAAGTTTCATCATGAATGTGTTCCTCTGATGCTACTTGATAATGTGTATATCTCACAATAATTTGTCCGGCAAGAATTAACCCCACAGGCCTCCTATTTTAGAATTTCCAAAAAAATCATTACGCTTCCAAAATACACCTGGATGGGAGTTTTTTTCTATGAATGTGTTCATCTAATGGTACTTGATAATGTGTATATCTCACAATATTTTGTGGGGCAAGAATTAGCCCCACGGGACCCCTTTTTTGGAATTGCATTAAATAAATCATAACTCGCAGAATACATGTGGATGGAAGTTTATTTCTATTAATGTGTTCCTCTGATGCTACTTGATCATGGAAAAAAAGTCGTATCCATGTGTATTTTGAAAAAGTTGAGATTTTTTTTCCAAAAAACAAAAAAGGGGGCATGTGGGGTTACCTTGCTTGACAAATTATTTTACACATCATCAAGTACCATAAGAGGAACACATTCATAGAAAAAAAACTTCCATCCATGTGTATTTTGGAAATTTTATGATTTTTTTTCAACATTCCCAAAAAGGGGGCCTGTGGGGTTAATTCTTGACCGACAAATTATTGTGAGGTATACACATTATCAAGTACCATCAGAGAAACACATTCATCGAAAAAAAATCTTTCAATCACCTGAATTTTGAAAAAGTAATGATTTTTTTTCAATTCCAAAAAAGGGACCCTGTGGGGTTAATTCTTGCCCGACAAAATATTGTGAGATACTCACATTATCAAGTACCATCAAAGGAACACATTCATAGAAAAAAAACTCCTATCCAGGGGTATTTTGAAAAATGTATGATTATTTTTTGAAATTCCAAAAAAGGGCGCCTGTGGGGTTAATTCTTGCCCGACAAATTATTGTGAGATATATGCATTATCAAGTACCATTAGAGGAACACATTGATAAAAAACTCCCATCCACGTGTATTTTGAAAAAGGTATGGTTTTTTTATTCAAAATTCCAAAAAAAGGGGGCCGGCGGGGTCAATTCTTGCCCGACAAAATATTGAGAATACAGATTATTAAGGACCCTTAGAGGAATACATTGATGAAAAATAGTTTCAACCCCGGACATATTTTGGAGGTTTTAGTATATTTCATGGCTGGTTTCACACTGATTAATAAATGGATAACACTTCACTAAACAAGTTCAGATAGTCTGAGTTTTTTGTTACAAAAATTTAGATCTAAACATTATATGAATGAGAGAAACATTATATATTGATTTTTCATTAGGTAGTTGGATGGTCAATTATGAAAATATTCATGAAGCAAGTAGAAACACTTTTCTATGAGAAATGATTTCAAGCATTCCAACTTTGAGCTCAGGAATGAATTTTTGGAAGGTTTTTGTCTCCAGCCATGTTCAGAAAATCATTTTCCTACTTAGCTGTATTTTTCACAACAGGATTATTATATCTCATACAAATCGGGTTGGTTTCATGGTTTCATGGCCACTTGGTCATAGAGTGCATTTTTGGTATATCTCTCGCTCCAGCAAATTTCAGGATCCTTACCCAACGAATACGTGAGATACAGGGGTGTTTCCATCAGAAGTGAGACACACTGTATAAATACATTGACAATTTGCATTCTCTATGTGATCAAAATATCAATTCTTTCTCGGTTTATTCATCAGAAAACAACTACTTTCCTGGCTATATACCACGACGAACATTGAATTATTGAATTATACCTAAATCTTCTGAAGTTGAGAATTTGCATTCTTCAGATGAAAATATGTACCTATATGCACATAACATCATTCTGGATATTCAACAGGAAACATCTACTTTCCTTGCTATTTGCCACGTCAAACATTGAATTATATCTGTTGAGCATCCAAAAGGAGAGCATGAAAAATAAAAATTCTTTAAATTGAGAATCGACAATCTCTCAAATCTGATAAATAATATGATGTATTATGATGTATAAAAATATAACTTACCAATATGTTCTTGGTAAGTTATATTTTTATATCATAATACATCATATTATTTATCAGAATTGAGATTTGAGAGATTGTTAATTATCAATTTCAAAGGATTCTGATTTTTCATGATCTCCTTTTGGAGATATTAAACAACTATCTGATCGTGTTTATATGGAAAGCTATTTTACATATAGAAAAAATAAATCTTTGCCCACGGCCGATCGATCCTGAAAAAAAAAACATCATTGAAATAGTGAATCACTATCGGCCGCAACAGTAGTACCTTTTTCAGGGAGGAAAGAAAATATCCCTTCTGCATAAGAAAGGAGACTACTTTTTTAAACATTCTAACCTAACTTGGCTCAAATGAACATTCTTCCTAAAAAGTATATTTTTTCGGAAAGGCACTTGACAAATCAGAATTAAAAAAAAGCAGACCGTCAAAGAAATTGAACCCGGATCGCTGCTCAATACTTCCCCCAGTGATTCTAAGAAATATGAAACTGGAGAATGTTGTGGTCTATAGACTACACCAATACAATTACTCATTTCATTACAGGAAGAATATATCCACAATAGTTCTGAAGCTATATTGATATCCAAAAAATCAAGAATATCAGTAGTAAATAATAACTTGATGTAAATGATGACACCACCACCCCTCCCTTGTAACCTGTCTAAGCGAAACATTAGATTACTACCAACTGAACCATATCATCATTAATTCCCCCATGTAACCAGCTCTGTTATCAATATTACATTATGCAAGCAGCTTCTCACATATTCGCTGAAACTTATGAATTTCGGCCAGATCGATCTAATATTAAAAATAGCTAGATTTAATGTACCCTTGATATATCACACCACTTATATCATTTTCACAATAGAAAGAGTAGGATGGACAAATTACCCTAATCAGATACGCATTACGTAGGTAGGTATGCCTCAACAAAATATCCACGATATATCCAATATGTTTCACATTTACAAACAACCGCGATTCGGATCATGTGCCTATCGCACTTTCACAATGCCATGTTGTACATTTTCAAACTTATATTTCCCAGTCCGATGTCAGCTGGCATACTTCCAATTTTGTGATTGTTAATATCCAAATTGCAAAATTATATGGATTCAAATATATTCATCAAATCATAAAAAATTCCACTTCAACTGATGATAAATTAATAAAAATACTGAAATTATTTGGGAGTAAGTATTGAGCAACTACAAAAATGATAAAAAATAGTTTCATTGTAGGCCTTTGGTAATGCTATGCGACGTCCAGCATTGCTTCCTTTGCCAAGTTTTGTACTCAATATGCTATTGAACAAAGAAAGAGCTGTTATGATTACGGAAGGTCAAAAAGTTATTCCCAAAAGAACTATTTCAACAGGATTCAATTATAAATATGGCGATATTCAATCAGCTTGCAGGGCATTGGTTGGAGGCAATTAGGAAATGGTTCACTACATAATAATGGGAATGTTAAAGGTAAGATATGAATTATTATATGTGTATACCCTTTATTACCAATTATTAGTAGTAAGTTAATTGAGAGGTTAGACCAAGTTAGTATCTTGAGGGACTTGTAGTAGATTATACCACGAAATTTTGGCATATTGGATGTCATTATTTGGTTTTCTGTATTGGCAGCATTAACAATTCTGTAATTTCACAAAATGCCAAAGATCGTTGTCACGTTCAGCGTTGTCATGTCAAAAAAATGTCAGTTTGAATTCAAATTCAAAATTTTGAAATATTAATGGTATTCGTATACCGTGCTTTCACATCTAGATCCTACATAGGATATAACCTCGTAGCATATCATTATTTGATGGAAGGGAGAAAGCGAGCCATGCAGCTACAGCCGGCTATCAGTGATCTCTCGCGATGCTAATCCCCACTCCTACGTAGCTGCTAGCCCCTCCTCCAACTCCTACGTAGTTGGTATTAGTGGTAGTCCTGACCGCACCGAATAGTATGCCTATGTAGTATTTTTCGATAAAAGCACGGTATAGAACCTCTGTGAAATGGTCAAAGAAAAAACAGAAAAGCTCAAATATAGATGAGTGATCAACTGAAGCACCGTATGAACACAAAAATGTTTGCAGTATCCATTCTGGTCTAGAAGAGCATAGACGGTCTGGAAAAATGAATGTGAAGAGTTCATCAAATTATTCTCATCAGCTATTTATATATTTACTGTTGCTTTATTATTTATGTCCACGTTATAATTATCCCGTTTTCAGAAAATGAGGGCTAAAATGTTCAGGTTCATCAGTTGGCGTTACGAAAACGTGGGGTCGATCGGTCAATGTCAAAGTCAAAAATCCCAAAATTTTGCCGGATTCGGAAAAAATGATTTAGAATATTTGAACAAATAGAAAACCTCAAGTTTTGGAGAGACTTGAGCAGACTAACGTTTTTTTACTGTCAATTGGGAACTTTACGACCAATTCTTACATTGACGGAGAAGAAGATATCGTAGGAAAAGCCCAAATGACACGAAAAGAAAATAGAACTAATAATATTCAATCACATATTTTCGAATCTGGTATGGATGGTTCCGCAAGAATTTGAATTCAGTGAAAGTGGACCAAAAAACCTCTATACTAAATCTCCATTTCAATTGAATAATCTGCATGTGAAATAGATATAAAAATGATTGAGAATAAAACACAATATCCAATTTTTTTCATGGCCTCTACTTCCCCTTTCAATACATTATACCGTATTTCCCAAGTCATCGTAAACAGACAATATCTCGCTTATTTGGCAAGATAATTGAAAAATTCAAAAACTGCATTGAATGGCATTGAAGTGACATATAAAAAAATCTATTACATATGACAGTTCTCTGGCAGCTACCCCCTCTTTTCATTAAATGGCATACTTGGTATTATTGTATTGATAACAACATTTTGTGACTTGTTTCAAGTTACTCAATTATTATCCTTATGAAAATGAAAAATTGACTCATGTTTTTTGTTTCAAAAAGCAGATGCTTGTCATGTCAAAATGATTTTGAACACTTGCTGTGATTTTTTGTCAATTTTTTGATTTACATTGAAGATATTTTAGTTCATAAAAAAATACCAAGTGTATGGTATCGTTGTATTCCTTATAAAATGGGACGCAATGTTTGTTTTTTTCTAGATTATATCTGAATTTGACGCGTACTGTAAGAATGATTTGTCATCTTCATATTTTTTGCATGCAATTTTGTTTGTGTTGCCCAAGTGTTGCCATTAAAAGAATATTCAATTTGATATCCCAAATTAGTTCCAACTTGGGCCACATTTTGCGTAAAATGGTCTATTGACTACACAATTTTGAATGAAGTTTTCCGATAATACAATTGATGGAGTAATAAATTGAAATCAAAATAATTTTTGTTTTGTAACCTGTTTCTTTCATCTTCATCTCTTTTCTAACTACATGTAGTTAAATGAAAAACTCATGTGACGAACTTTCTCACAATGGAGAACTATCTAGTAGATACTATGCTCTAATGAGCTAGATTGTCTGTTTGCCTATATCAACTTTAACAGCCTCATCAGTCTTCGATTGAATTAAAAGAATCATCAAATGCATAGGTATTTGATTCAATGTCGATTGATTGAAAGTATTATCAATCTGTGATGTTTTTTTTTTTTCAAGGGGATGCAAAATACCCGGAGAGATTAACTGTGTAGCACTATGAAGACTGCTTGAATAGTACCTACCTAGTATTAAGTATTTATTTCTTGAGAATATTGATTTAATGAATACATCTTGTTATTAATAAAATGTTTATAATATTTTGAGAACTCTAATCTCTTTCTCACTCAATATAAACAAACTCGTATTTGTACAATAAATTCCAAGTATTTCATCATTAGATATATTCACTACTTGTTGCTGTGCAATGTTGTTAACTCTTCTTCCTGTAGATCTATTCCTCACTTCCCCTGAGGAAACCGCAATGCACTTTTTGTAAATGAAAAGATGCCCAGACGATTCACATATAACTGAGTAACTCATGTCAGGTGGACAGGCGATAAATTTTCTGTTCCGCTTCGACGCCTGTAAAATAAAACTTTGTTTAGTGAATGCTTTTTCAGAATTTACTATAACTCGGGATCAAATCATTCAGTCACATGATGAGATTGCCATAAAAACTTAGTCTATATACCACGAAAATGGAAAATGTCACCTTGATCAATTATTTTTTGTTCAAATAGTAGTGTTGTGTCTGTTCTAAGGACATTAACAATTGAGAATATATTAACAACTATCTACGATTTTGATCGAATATCAATGTCAAAATGGAGTTTTCTTAAGAGTTGAAATATTTTGGAAAAAAATATTCGTGATTTCTATGTCACGGCAACTATAGTCAATCTCAACAACTACAATGAAATGTTGAGAATTCTTTAGAAGAAATGTAGATCGCAATTATCACGCTGAACATAAATATGAAAAACAATACTGATTAAACATATCTTTATAGGTTTTACTTGAACAAGGTCGGTCTGACTTCTGTTGTTTATGTATAAGTAAATATCAAAAACTTCTCAGTCTATAGAACGGCAAAGCTTTGGAATTCTTTGGCAAAGGAAGTATTCCCAAGAACTAATAATCTCCAAAAGTTGAAAAAAAATAGTTATATTCTTAATTACAACTAGCAATATATTTCAATCAATCAATAAAAGCACTTCTTTTCAACTCCAATTAGTCACCATGACAGCATATGACAAGTCGTTATTAAAAAATACCTACTAGATTCGAGTGCCTTTCCTGTGGATATCACATTATCAGACAGCGAATTCGGAATAACTGAAAATTGTGTCAGGAACCTTCAGTTTCATAATATGTCCTCAGATTTTTGATAAATAATTATACAGGGTGAGTTATTCTCACAATGAGTCAACATAGGAAACAGGTAATATTTATTATGGCAGATTGAATTTTTCGTTGAAATCCATAAATGACTGTATGTCAGTAACGAAGCGGTTTTGGACATTTGTATATCGCATTTTGCAATCATATTGGCAGTCCCCTATAACCCCATATGCTTCGTGGGTTTCATCTCTGGCCACCCTGTATATATCTCTTTTTCATGTGTATAGTATATCTGAGAATGTTTTTTTTTTCAAAATATCAGTGTATACTTTTGTATATTTTTCTTCTCTTTCATTTTTTGAGAAATATTTGTCCCGCATTTTAATCACTCTAAGTAATCTTTCATCGAACCAATGTTTGGAATCTTCCTTAATCTTCAATATTTTGGTACAGGCACAATCTTGTAATATTCTTATCAAACTCTCATAGAAACTATTAGCGTCCTGGAATATGTGTATATTCATTTGGAAAGATATGTTCAGTTGGCCAGCTAACCGCGCGGACGAAGCGTCAGTATTCTGATCCGCATTCGCTTACCGGTTGTGGGTTCAATACCCCGCGACTGCAGAAATTTTTATGATGTCCCAAGAAAGTGTTTGGGATCACACGTTAAAAGGTAAGGCCCCGCTCGCACAAGTCTCTCGAAGACTTCTGAGGGTTGCTCGTAAGGGGGCAACCGAATGACAGATAGAACAATTTTATAGTTTTCAACTTACCAATATCGAATCTTGTTATTTCTTTGGCTATAACTTTGTTATATTTCACGGGGAATTTGACATTTTCCGAGATATTTTAATTCATTTGAATTTGTCACAATATGGTCTATAAGACTAATTGTGTTATTTATATCTCTTGTTGGTATACGAGTTGGTATATCTATTGTCTTCGATATTCCACAAACTCATCGTTTTCATTTCAATCGAAATTCAGGCGTTTAGAGAAATAAAAAGTCTTTCCAATGAAGTGCCACACAGTGAAGGCAAAGGGGATGAAACGAGCACGGTGATTTTTACGTGAGAACATGTCCTCCGCACAATCAGTCTTCAACTCTCTCGGCAATTTTCCGAGAACCGTCTACTAACCGAGATATTGGGGGTGGGAAGTTTTCCCTTATAATACCACGAGAGCTTCAATTATTTCCGGAAACGAATATTTTGAAAATTCTCCCGAGTCGCAGACGAGGTAAGAAAATTTCGCATTGAAATATTATTAAAAAATCACTTGGATAATGACGATTTTTGATGGTTTTGACATTTGACTAGTAGGCTTTCTATGTTAACTCAAAAGAATAATATATTTTTTTTTATTTACCTATTCTATTCTTCATGTCAAAACTGAAGAGTAGGTATAATATCATAGTGTTTATATATGAAAATGTATTCATATTATTGATAAAATGCACATTCATAAAATTGTTAGGTTAAATAAAACCCAATTAACCTACCTTAGTTACACAAAATAATGAAAAATAAATCGATAGTAGCTTACTTTTTAAATTTTCCACAAATTTAGTTCATTAAAGTTGGTAGAAATATATTTTCTTGCAAGGAACCCGAAGTACTATTCAGTATATCCATGAAATTTGCGCGCATAATATTATTAGGTTAAATAAAATATGATTGAACGACTTTAGTTGAATAAAATGAAGAAAAATGAGTCAGTAGTAAATCAATCTTTCAGTTTTTCTAATTATGTTTTAATATATCTATTTTCAATCAATCTGATCTACTATAGGCGTAGCAATATAGGTTTCTTCTAAAACGTGCAGAGTATACAGATAATCAATCAGTTCATTGTAATATCTCTGTTAAACGGGCAGAAGGCTATGGAATTCATGTCAAACCTAGTAGGTAAGTAATTCTATCTTTTGAGGTTATCTGAGTAATAATTATCTGAATAAATTCGTTGTGTTGTAGAATTTGTAGAGATGAAGCGATTCACGAAATACAGTTCATGCAAGTTTTGTAATGAAGTTAGTGACATTAAAAAGTATCATTCGAATCTGAAATTTTTAGAGTATTTAGTAGAAGAATGCGAGCCAAAAATTTATTCACCGAATTTGTTTAGTATTATCAAATATCAATTGCTTCTGGTGTGTGAAAAATATGAAGCTCTTCGTGGATTACAACAGAATAAGATTGTTTCAAAGTACTACATATATTTCATGAAACATAGACATTTTATACGTTCTAGTGAATGTTCGCTTTTATATTCTCCATTGCAGAAAGAAGACGTAGCTAAGAAACCTAGATGATTTAGTTGAAAATGATGGTTGTTTGTGATGAAGTGTAAGAACTAACGTATAGTAACAACATGTGTTTTTGTAAATTTTGAATTTGCAAGTATACCTACATAATATTATATGGTAAACTATTGATGAATGATTTTTATTAATTGGCTTACAGAATGAACTTGAAATAATCTGAAACTGAATGTAAATGTCATTCAACCCATAAACGTCAAAAAATTTCCAGTGTAATTTCATGCTCCGTTCACCAAGGAGGAAATGTGTTTAGTTTCTATGGTAATGATACGAAATACAAGCTTCCTCGCAAGCTTCAAATTGATCGAAAATGTTTGGTGTGACATTTTCAAGTGAACACTGGGCATGTTTAAATGTAAGTAGTTTGAAATTAATTCTTGTTTTAATTTTATCATTTAACAATGGCTATCAATACATGCTCATTGCGTGATATACTATCGAATCACCTAGGTATCAGTAATTTTTCACATCCTTAACAGATTGGTACATTCAATCACTCTATGTCATGAACTGAATTATTCTGTGGTTCACTTATTTTGAAAATATACAAATAATATATGGAATGACAACTTAAACCATTCAATGGATTAATACCTGAACATATCCCAGTGCTAATAGTGTTCCTTCATGAACGATAGAAAACTGATCACCATTCTTTTCTGGTTGCCATAGACAGATATCTACATCATGCCTGATTCCCATTGCAGGTGCTCGGTCATTATGTAATTGTGCTTTCAGAAGCACTTGATGAGTACCTAGATTCACTCTATGAGTGACCTGGTTGGTTGAACCACTGAATCTTTCAAAAGTTACAGACTTGTCACTCTCAAAATCACATTCTTCAACTTGTTGGCTATTGAAGGTCATGCCAGATGGTGGTAATGCCTGAAATAATAGAATCCCTATATGGATTTGAATAATGCAATATACTAGTGTATGTATACCATGCCAGTTGATACAACAATAATGTGGCATGGTAATGATATCGAATTTCCTATGATTAGCTGTTAATAAAGATGTTAAAGAATCGTATCTTCACTGAGAAGACAATTGAACATTTACAGCAGAATTCAATTGGAAGCACCAAGATCCAATTTGATGATTAAACAGAACATTGAAGTTGAACAGTTTTAGAATTCGATTGGAGACACTAGGATAAGGAAATTATATGAGGATTTTTTTTACAGGAGAACCCCCCACCCAATTTTAAATCTTTATATGATTTCTATGAGGGGTTTCAAAAAAACAGGCACATCTAAATAGCATTTTTGCTTACGTAAATAATTATTTATTCGGAAACGGTGAGTTCAACAAAAAAAGGATATCTTGTTTTTTGTTTAAACCATAATTTTCTACCTACTGGAGCTATTGAACGTTCCAAAATTTGCAGTTGATTTTGTTGGAAAGCAGGCTTTTTGATGAGGAAAACTGGGTGGAAATCGAAGTAAAACAAAACGTTTGCTCAGTGTTTTAGAACGTGTACTTGACTAACGAAAAACCCGAAATAGTGACATCTATACATTACTCTATACATTAACTGTACAACATCTTACAGTGTTCTCTAGTTCTAATTGAATCAACACACAAGTGCTTAATGTGGCATGACCTAAACAATAAGAGATGGCACTGTATGCCTACTACATATGAATTAATTTTCAATATATTTCAACACCCCCACTTATTAAAAATTGATTCCTTTTAAAAGAAACACTTTCAAGTTAAATAGGTAACCAAAATGAGATAACAAAGATACTAAATCAAACCTAATTGTGAAACAAACTTGTTATGTTTGACACTTGGCAGACCTTTTGTTAAAATATCTGCTGTCATGTCAGAGGATGCTAAATATTTCAACTCAATTATGTTGTTAGCTACTGTTTCCCGCACAAAATGGTACCTAACATCAATGTGCTTTGAGCGAGAATGAAGTATTGGATTTAATGCCAACTTTTGAGCTGATTGATTATCAATAAACAAAATTAATGAATCCAATTCTTCATAAAGCTCTTCATACAAGTTTCTAAGATATATGGCTTCTTTTGCAGCCTCACTCATTGCCATATACTCTGCTTCAGTGCTACTGAGAGCTGTACTTTTTTGTTTAAAACTTTTCCAGGAAATGGCTCCCCCTGCTAGTTTAAAAATAAAACCTGTATATGACTTTCTGTCCAATTTATTAGACCCCCAATCTGCGTCTGAATAACCTTCCAGATTGCAACCATTTTCTGTAAAAGTAAGGCATTTTCCTTTTGTAGCTTGCAGATATCTCAACAGCCTTTTTGCACATTTCCAATGCGTTTCAGTGTAACAGTTATTAAACTGACTAAAGAAGCTTACAGAGAAAGCAATATCTGGGCGTGTTAAAACTGCAATGTACATAAGGCTACCTATCAATTTTTGATATGGTACATTTTCATCACATATTAATTCAGATTTTTCTGAACTTTGATCCAAGTTCAAATTTGGTTCAATGGGTGTTGCAACTCCTTTACAATGGGTCATAGCAAACCTCTTCAAAACCTGCTCTATATAGCCCTCTTGGTCTAACCTAATTTGACCCTGTTCCTGTCTAATTCTTACTCCCAAAATCTGTTTGGCCTCCCCCAGATCCTTAATTTTAAAATTACTACATAAATGATTTTTCAAAAAACTTGTTTCAGTTTTATCATTGCTAAAAACAAAAAAATCATCTACATACAAAGCTATTACAGTTGAAAATTCTCTTTGCCTTTTTATGTATATACAAGGTTCATATTTAGATTTAGTGTAATTTATTTCCAATAAGACTTCATCAACCCTTTTATTCCAGGCTCTACTGCTCTGCTTTAGCCCATAAACAGCCTTTTTTAATTTGCATACCTTGTTTTCTGAACCTTTGACCACAAAGCCTTCTGGCTGTCTCATAAATACATTCTCTTCAAGGTAGCCATTCAAAAAAGCTGTTTTCACGTCTAAATGAAAAACTTTCGAATTCAATTTAACAGATAAGCCGAAAAGCATTCTTATTGTACTATGTCTCACTACAGGTGAGAACGTTTCATCATAATCTAGTCCTGGTTTTTGTGTATAACCCTTAGCCACTAACCTTGCACGATACACATAATCACTACCTGATTCACAATTTTTTATTTTAAATACCCACTTGCATTGCACAATTGTTCCATGACTAGGAACATCCATCAGATCCCAAGTATCATTTTCTTGAAATGACTGCATCTCTTCCTTCATGGCTTGCTTCCATCTTTCTTTATCTGGTCTTGATAAAGCCTCTGCCACACTCACTGGTACATCTTCTACATTAATTTCACTCTTGCACATGTAAGTGATATAGTCATCCAACTGCCTATTTGGTATTTTAACTCTCTGAGACCTACGTACGATCACATGTTCTTCTTCATCATCTGACTGCAAACTCTTCAGCACTTTCAGTTTCCCCCACTGAATCTTTGCCTTCCTGCTCTTCTTTGTCCAACTTGACAGTTTCACTGATTACTATATCTGTGTTTTCCTTTTCATGAATAATGACATCTCGACTGGTAATAACTTTCTTGTCAGAAGGGTCATATAACCGGTATCCCTTGACATTATCGCCGAAGCCAACCAATATCATTTTCTTGGATTTTTTATCCCACTTGTGTCTCCTGGGTTTTGGTACATGAACCATAGCCTCACTGCCAAAAATTCTGATATTACTGATGTCTGGCTTCTTGCTATACCAAAACTCATATGGTGTTTTATAGTTCAAGCCTCTAGCTATACATCTGTTTCTCAGGTATATGGCTGTATTAATTGCCTCAGCCCAAAATATTTTTGGCAAGTTAGCTTCAACTAACAAACACCTGGCTTTTTCAATAATAGTCCTGTTCATACGAACACTCATGCCATTTTGTTGGGGTGTATGGGGATTTGTTTTTTGATGTACTATCCCCATTTTCTTTAGATATTGTTCGAAATCATTCCCACAAAATTCTCCGCCATTATCAGAACGTAGACACTTCATTTTAAAACCTGTTTGAGTCTCTGCTAGCTGTTTAAATTCTTTAAAATATCCTAAAGCTTCATCTTTGGTCTTTAGAAAATAGACATGCGTGTACCTGCTATAGTCATCCTCAAATAGAATAAAATATCTGGAACCTCCAATGGACATCTCCTCCATAGGTCCGCACAGGTCACTATGTATCACTTCTAATGGTGAATCAGCTCTCTGACCTTCATGTTTGAATGGCAACCGTGCCTGTTTTCCTTCACAGCATGTTTCACAAAATTTATCTGTGCAAACATCTTTCATCTGTAGACCTTCAACAGAATTATGATTTTTCATAGCTGTCAAATCTTGAAAATTTATATGTGCCAATCTACGATGCCATATTTCATTTGATATTGATAAATTCAAAACTGCATCTGATGATTTTTGACAAAATTCATCATCACTAGGTAAATACCATGCTAACTTATACACATTTTGAGTAGAATGGGCAAGGGCAATAACTTGTCCATTACTGTTTGTGATCAATTCTTGTCATCAAATTCAACACTGTTGCCATTCTTGATTATCTGACCAATGGACAATAAGTTAGTTGTCACACCTGGAACATATATTACATCTTTGATTTCGACGTCATGTTCTTGCCCATCTACAATGGTTATAAGTGCTATATTCCCTGTACCTAATACTGGTAAATTTTGTCTGATCAGCTATCATAATTTCCTTAGGTTCACTGGTTTCGTGAAAATCTGTTATCCACTCTTTTCTAGATGTAACATGATGGCTGGCTCCCGAATCAATATACCAATCACTACTAGTGAACTCTCCATTCATGAAAACTGCACTAAGAGCGCTCACACTCCGATTTTTATCACCTGACTTCAAGCTGTCATCAGATTTTTCAGTGCCTTTGGGACACTTGTTCATGTAGTGACCAAAACTTTTGCATCGATAACATTTGACAGTTTGCAATTTGGAACTGTCTTTTCTTTGTTTACTCATCTTGTAGCCTTGAGATTTACCTAATGCAAATGCAGATCCGGAACTACTAGTGCCCTCTTGTGACATGTCTAACAACTTGGTCTTGATGTTTTCTGTAGTTATATCGATTACACTGTGCTCGATGGCCATAATCATGGGAGAAAATTTTTCTGGCAATCCCGCCAAAAGTAATGAACCTACCCATTTTTCATCAATGGAAAATCCCGTTTTCTTCAATTTTTGTGCAGTTTCAACAACTTGGGTTACATAGGATTCCATATTGTCACAGTTTTCTAGCCGTAATGATATCAAGGCTCGCAATAAATAAATTTTACGCGTGAAGCCTGTATCAGCGTACATAGGATATGTTCCGTTAATCAACCGAGGTTACCGATGCTTTCAGGGCCGGTACCAACAATCTTGACAGTGGTTATGTACTGGTGACTACGATTGTGTTTTATTTACGGAATGCCAGTCATTAATCAAATTATTGTTTTGATAGTTTTTTTAACATTCAGGATTCATGCTCTTCCAGTATTTGATTTTCAATTATGGCACCCAAAAGTCCCTGATTTTTATGCACAGTGAGCACAAGCAGAAGATGTAGTGTCCTGGAATAGAAACAAAAACGTCATCAAACTGAAGATATATCGAATATTATTAATTTACCTCAGAAAACGAATCAATTGAAACTTAACTCGACAATTAAAATGGGAATATTGTTCTTCGTTGTAATTTGCAAATCAAAGAATCAAACTGAAAACTAAACAAGTCAATGTCAACTCAAACTTACCGAACTTACCAGAGAAAATCCACGGTCGTTCTGGTAACAGTGAATCTACCGCTTTTTCAGCAACCGAGTTCCGTAAATAAGCTTTTTTCAGGTACCAACCGAACATTTCATATTTACGGAACGAAA